ATCAGTTAATAAAATAATCTTAGCACCACAGAGTAAGGTTTCAAATCTCTGCAAAGCCCAAATAATAGCATAAGCTTCCCTTTCAATTGTAGACCATTTCTGTTGAGTTGAATTCAGCTTCTGGCTACCGAAAGCTATGGGACGAATATTTCCTTCTTCATCTAACTGACCTAAACAACATCCGACCGCATTTTGAGATGCATCCGTATGCAAGTAGTATGGTTTCTCTATGTCTGGGACTTGTAACTCTGCGATCTTACATAGCGACGTCTTCAATTCCTTGAATGCCTTCTCAGCTTCTTCGCTCCAAGGAATCTCATTAGGAACTTTCTTTTTAGTAAGCTCTGTTAGTGGAAGAGCAATCTTTGCGAACTTTGGAATATACTGCCTGAGGATGAAAAATTTTTGAATTATAAGGTATGAATTTTTTTATACCATATTAATCTACATATTTTTCAATTGAAAAATCTAAAGTTACAACTGTTTTTATTTATTAGAAGCTGAGAAAAATTAAAATTAATTATTTTTAACAAAAAAATTTGGCGACAATGAAGAAATATTTAAACGGGGAGATTAATCTTAAAATGTGGTTAATTTACGAGGAAGTTGACTTGCGTGTGCGTAGAGTAAAATTTCATTCATAATTATTTCGCTAATTACCGATTGGTGTGTATTACGGTAAAATACATCTTTTTTTTTTGTCTTCAATTTATTTCAAATCAAAGTGAAGTCAATATTACTTCATTCCAATGAATAAATGTGCTTTCAGAATGTGCAGAACTGTAATAGTTATAGAATATTCATCTTCTGTATAGAATCGTATATATTTCTATATCTATATATTTCGAAAAACATCAGTAAGGAATTATCCAAATTATTAGAAATAGTATCATTTGTGTTGATTATTAATAAATTTGTATAGTTTTCTTGGTAAGTATTTTTTAATTTTGAATTAATAATTTCAACTAGAATTCAGCTATTCTACTTTTAAGTTAAATATTGAAATTCATATCGAGATCTTGCAATTATAAAATTTTATTGTGATATGTCATCTAAAAGTAATGAAAGGATAATGAATGCATATATTATTTGAGAATAAAATTTTCAAACGAAGAACATTTCATTTGGAATTATCCGATTTTATAAAGCAAGTAAGTGTTATGATTTTTATAATAAAAAAATTACTCGAAAAAAAATTTTTTTTTTCTAATTATATGATAGTTCTCTACAAAACGGTTTTTACGTCTGATTAAGAGCATAAAGACTAAGAAAAAGAAACATTAAAGTTTTTCATTTCAATATGAAGAATTTCAAGAATTTTTTTTTTATTGTAAGCATTCCTTATTGTACGTTTCTGAGTATAAAATTTTTTGATAAAAATCGTTGCCAAAAATCATTTTTTTTTGCTAAATTAAATGGTATAAGATTATGTGTTTCTGTACACTTTTTGCACACTTTAATATTTGAAGTAATATGCTTCAGAAAAATATGGAATGTTAAGTTTAAATAAACCTTGCATATTAGATCATTAAATATAGTAGAACGATTACTCAGACTCTAATAGAATAATGAAAAGACTCTAATAAAAAGATTTTTTACAAATATTTTTTTATGCGTTTCGGATGTTCCTACCCTAAAAAAAGAGATTCTATTCTGTTTTCTGAAAGAATATCAAGCATTTTTCTTTTTGTAATTTAATAAGCCACAATAAAGAAGAAACGTTACCATGCTGCACTGAAGAAATCTCCAGTGCAACTGACCATCCTGTTGTTCTGCTAGCAGACATTCGGTTCAAATAACAACGCCTCCTATAGGTCGTTGCATTCGCGAATTACAAAGAACTTCATAAATTTAATTAAAAATAAAACAAACGATAAACTCATCAATTCATCAATCTAACTAATAAAGCTTTTGCCGTACCGTGGCGCTGAAAATGTTACAGCCAGAGAGTGAAAGTTTACGCATCAATAAAATACGCGCCATCTTTTAATGTGCTCTAACATTACACTGGAAACTACATATTTTTTCTTTTATCTTCCTGAGATAATTCTTTGCTGAACCGAGGCCGAACTAGATCAAAAACATTACTGTTACAATCAAGTTTTACCTCGGCTGACAATGATGCCAAGCCCAATCATAATAGTTTGTCACGTGACCTGCTAAATCATTTATTATAATATTTAAGCCTTGTCCTCTGGCAATAAAACTTTAAAGACTTAAAGGGAATGGAATGTTCAAATGTGACTAACCGTAAAATTCCCATTCATTACCGTAGCGTAATTGGTTTCTAATTGTCATTATGCAGAAATTTAGTCCAGAAACTCTTAAATCCGCAAGTTACGAGGAAGGGATAATAATATTTCTCTCATCAGGATATAAGAGTAAGATCCAAACTATTTTGACAAGATTTCGATCGTTTAAAAGAAATAATAATATTGAAATTTCCTTTTATTTGAAATTAAAATTTTATAACATTGTAATATTTTTTTGGTGAAACAATGCACTAATTTGTACATGTCAGTCTATTATGATTCATGAATTATTTTACTTTAATTAGTTTAAGAGAAAGCTCTTGTTTCTTTCAATTTTATCATATGAGTGTTCAGCAAGCATTTTAGTTATATACATTATAGTTATTTATATAATCCACAATGCTGGGGTATTATTTATTGGCGCATTAAGTACATAAAACATTTCTAAAAAAATCTACACGGAGTTGCCAAGTTCAGATGCTTGAGTTTTTATACTGCCATGTTATTTCGGCACTCGGTGGAGCATTTATACAGTAACAGTTCCTTGAGCACATTTGTGCAAATAGTTATGTTTCTTTAGCTAATTCATTTTTCAATATATATTGATAAGATGCAAAATTTTTGCATTTTAATTCTTAATAAAGATGTCTACATTATCAGAATTTTTTTCCCAAAAGGAGCCACAGAATGGGAACTGTTACTATAATCCGGTGCAAAGTGCAACACATGTAATAACCTAAATAATTGAATCATGTTTCCGCTTAAGTTAAGCCAAAGTATCGTGTATTTAAATGTAAGAAAGACGATAATATAGTTTAAACTAGCAAAATAATATGGAAAGGTTGCGGCGAAATTGAGCGATATAATAATTCGCCACGCAAAAATTTCTAACAATATATACGTTTTTTTTTTTTTTTTTTTTTTTTTTTTTTTTTTAACCTGCTCAGAAGTCAGTGTGGCTTAGCTTTCTTAGATACAAAACAAATGAAATAAAATAAAAATATGACCACCGAAGCCGACGTCTTCAGGGGGTACCAGCCCCGGTAGCCATTAAAAACAAAACCATTTCTATTTGAGGGAGAAGCAAAAGCTTAAAAAATCTCCCTCAGTACCCCGGTGGTCATATTTTTATTTTATTTCATTTGTTTTGTATTGATACTTTTTTCTGAAATTTCTGCTGCTTCTTAGCGCGTTTTTTTCAAAGAAGTTTTTATCCTTTTGATCTTAATTATTTGTGTTTTCTTTCAGTATTAGCTTTCTTAGACTTACTATAGATATTAAGGTACTTTTCCTTTTCGCCGGCGCAGGTGATAAAGTTGCCAATGTAAAGCTACTAAGTGCAAATAAATTCAATTGTTTTTTTTTTTAATTTTTATTTATTTTGATTCTTTAAGTGACGGCTTTTAAAAAAAATAAGTAAATAAAATAGCCGAAATTATTTGCACCTACAAAATGGAAAAGTACCGATATTTAATATTATCATATCAAAAAGATAACATTGCGAATAGAACTATACGAAGTTATTGTGACTATTGAAGAATTTTATTTGATTAACAAAAAAATTAACCAATGTAAAAATTATGCTAATCATTTATATTGGTCAATATGGGGATATAATATTAAATATCGATATTTTGACAATACATCACCATTTTTAAAATTGGCACTTATTGAATAAAAAAATAAAATAATCTCAGAGGCGAGACAGCCAATAGAGGGCCAAGGCCTACTCTGCCTATCTCAGTTTTCGTGATCTTGGGCACAGGGGTGGTCAGCCATACGCGGAACCCCCAGTGCCCAGTGTTTAGTCCCCAAGCATGCTTGGTATTCATCTAATCGACCCTCTGAAGGGATGAAAGGCTGAATAAACCTTGCCTGGTTCGAGGATCGCACCAAAGACCTGCCCCACGAGAGGGCGAAGTGCTACCACTCAGCCACTGAGCTTATTGGTTATAGGGACCAATATTCATATAACTTGGAAAAACACTCGAAACGTCAAATGTCCAATAAGTATTCAAATTAGACTTTAACAAACACGAATAACACAACGACTCGGAACGACTTATTTATCGCTTAAGATATAAATATAATTTAAGTTTTTTATTATTGCCAAGAAAATAAAAGAAACTACGTGCTAACTTTGATGCGCAATCAATTTTTCTTGTTATTTTCTTTTATTAATTCTATTTTGAATGATACGCTACAACGGAATCTCGCCATTTATTTAAAATTTTATAAAAATACTAAGTAGTAGTACCAAGTTTAGAACTCTAATAAAATTCCCTATTTGCATTAAGCTTATTGCTCTCTTATTTATTTAACTTACTTGTTCTCCAATTTATTTCATTTATTTGTTCTCTAATTTATTTTAACTTAACTTATATATAAAATAGTCTTACGGAACTTATGTAAAGTTCTGTCGTATAGGTAAGTTGGCGAGAATTCCGCCTAATTGACACCAAATCGCTTCACATTGTAACTAGTATATATTCAATGGGAATTAAAACAAAATTTTAATTTTTTAAATAAAAATGTTGAACTTAATGTCTTAGAACATTCGATTGAAAGGAAAAATTGCGGCACAATTTATTAGCAAAAATATCTAAAAATTGAATTTATTGAATGCTACAATCCTATATAAGAAAATTTGTTTTACATGGCACGATAGACAGTCCTTCAAAGGGGAAAAACCTCAAGTGGTTACTATTTCAACGCCGTCCACTTTACCCCAATTTTAAAAAAATAACATATAATTTACTTTGTTAGTTAATCTTTTTAGTTAAGCAAGAAAAATATTAATAAGAGGGCATTTATATTACTTGCAGCTTCGCTCGGTAAAGATGTTCAAGAATTTTTCCAAAGTTGGCAAGCAATGACTTCGGAGAGGCAAAGAGCATTGAACAATTGCATGGAAGAAAGATTAAATGAATCCGGCGTCTCTCTTTATAAATCTATGATTCGTGGTTTTGGAATTTGGAATGAAGCACAAGAGAAAATTGGTGCACCTGGATGGTGTGTTTCAGACAGTACAATTCATCACCTTTCGAAACAAATGGAAACCAAACTTATGAGCTTGTTTCAGTCTATGGATTTGATTTGGTTCACATATCACAAGAAAAGTCCTTTAAACGACCCTTTTCTGAGAAAAGAGAAAGCACAACAATCGTCAGTAACTGGTGCGGACTCGAAAATTCAGGACAATCCTCAAAGTTTTCCTGTGAAACTTGACGGAGTAAAAGTGGCAAAAGATCTCTCTGATTCTCAAAAGATAATTAGCAGGATGTGTTTACAGAAAAGAAAACTTGCAATGAGAAATTTATTGGCTGAGTCAACTCTCTTAAGTTCTAAAGTGGATAAAGTAAGCTTCTTAAAGACTACAGTGGATTCTTAATTGGTTTTTCTTAAGAACTAATGTTATATTGTAACTTGCAAGGATTGTTTATATTTAGATAAAGAACATAAAAAATAATTAGATACATAATTCATTTCTTAATATAAAAGATTTAAATTTCAAAAAAGAAATATGCGATTTATTTTGAAGTTTAAAAAAGCTCCTTGCGCTAAATGTTTCCTTAAATTCAAAGATTATTAGTTAATTTCAACTCTATTTACATTATTCTTCGAATTGTAGAGAAACAATTTATACATTTTACTACTTATTTCCATACAGAGTAGAAAAAGTAAGTTTCGGGAGAAAAAAAACATGAAAATCGTTCCTCAATAAGTATTTTAGAACATTGAAATAACAATTCAATTTCCAGTTCGATGCAAATCTTTGTTTTGAGAAAAACAAGTTTTTGTAATAAAAAAGCCAAAATAACACTAATATTGTCAAATGTTTTACAAATTCTTATGGTTTTAATAATTTATATACTTTTTCATATCAGAACCAACTAATTATAGATAAATTTAGCAAATCATGGTAGTAGGTATCAGAAACTAAGGTGGGAGAGAATACGATATTAACATAAAAAGATTCAGAAAAATTACCATAAAATACACAATTATTTTATTTTTCGTAAATTTGCTCATTGAGATTATAAATTTTGGTAAGATATACACAGAACTTATAAAGCTAATCAAAAGGAATTAAAAATTTTTGAGTAATGAATACTAAATTATGAATAATAATGAGTACAAACACTAAAAATTATGAGGCTTCAGATGACTGTACAAATTTAATCAAAGGGGCATGGTACGAAGGTGAAAAAACGAAACTAGCTTATAGCTGGCTGCAATTGCACAAATACGAAAAAAATCTTTTTGCTTATGATAAAGCATCATTTAATTAATATATAATGGTCAAAATTAGAAAATCGATTTTTCGAGGGATTTTTACGATTTTGAATGTCCAAACAGGGAATCAAACAGGGCAGTTAATTGTTCGGAAAAGTGAAAAAACTGAAGTAAAATTAAGCTAGTTTTAGAATGAAGTACAATTTCCCTGACTGCTAACATTTATTATCAGTTGTTATAACATGCATATCTTACCGCAAAAGCTTCGAAGCAGTTAATATGCACGTTATCTAGCTAATATACACATTAATTAGAGCGGAATCAAGAGTTTTCCGTGATTTACCTAGAGTAAGACCGTTAATGCGCATTCTATAGTCTTAAAACTAGGTTTTATGTCAAACAGTTAAATTTCACTGGTCTGTAACGATATCTAGTCAAGGTCTGAATTTGATTTTTTTTTTTGTATTGCTTAAACTGAAACAGAATAAAATGAATTGTGGTTTCCGTTGAAATGAAAGCGAAAAAAAAATGATTATCAGAGTAATACGAAACACATTTCTTTTTGATATCGGTTATTTTCGTTGAGTTAAAAAGTTTGATACGAAATTCCAGTGCAATATCGTTTTTTTTTATTTTTTTTTAAATCTTATTATTGATAATACATTTCGCTTTAAGCATGTTAAAAAAATTATCGAAATATTAAGTAAACAATGTTTGTATATAAGCATTATTGCAGGTTTAAAATAACCATTTCAAGATTTTAAAAAAAGAAAGTCCTAAGTCTCGGAACCCTTGCAATCCTTCCACGGAAGCCTAGGGTTCCGTGAAAGGCCATTTGAGAACCGCTGTATTAATGTATGGTATGAAAAATCATCTTTCAGGATGCCTCAAAGTTTTTACCAGATAGCGGAAATAAGGATAAAAATGAGCGAACAGGTTCATTTTCGAGATCTAACTTTTCGGCTGATCAAGAAGAAGACCTACTAGAAGCTGATCATCTACTGAGAAACTTATGTCTGGATGATTGTTCAGTAGATCCAGATTTCGAAAAACAAATTAGCCCTATTATTAGTGACGTGGAAGAACAAATTTGAAAGAATTTTTGACTGTTCCAAAAACGAATCTCAAGAATTCAATAGTCTTTTTTTCAATATTTTTATTTGTTGAAAAATCTTGTCTTTATACTCTATGAAGTGTTTATTTACTCTGTTTTATTCTTAATATTACTTTAACGATAAGAAATATTTATATTGCGTCTTATCATCATCATATTTGGCTAGACAGCCCAGGGTGGGCCAGTGCCTTCCTTTGAATTCGAATCCACTTCTCTCTACTTTTGACACTTGTTCGCCAGTTTTTCTCCTTTAGAGTAAGGAAATCAGTCTCAACTAAATCTAGCCATCTCAGCCTGGGTCTACCTCTTTTCCTGTTCGTTAGGGGTTTGTGTAATAGGATTTTCTTTAAATTTGAGTCATCATTCCTTCTGAAAATGTGAGCTGCCCAGTTCATTCGATTTATTTTAATGAATTTCACAATATCTGGCTCTCTGTAGATTTTATACAGTTCAGTATTATATCGTCTTCTCCAGGAATTATTTATTTTTATCCCACCAAGGATGGCCCTCAAAACTTTTCTCTCAAAAATGGCAATTTTATTTTCACCAGCTTGAGTTAGGTTCCAGGTCTCAGAGCCATAGGTAAGTATTGGCCTAATTAATGTTTTATAGAGTAAAAGTTTTGTATTTTTTGATAAAAGAGAGGATTTGAAAAAACGTTTTAAACCATAAAAAGCTTTATTTGAACAAATTAGACGACTCCGAATCTCATTGTCTATGTTATTGTCGGCAGTAACTATTGAACCAAGGTAAGTAAAATTCTGAACAGTCTGAAACCTGTGGGAACCAATCTCCAGATAGGATTCACTAGAATTTAATTTAGCAAGTACAGGCATGTATTTGGTCTTATCGGTATTGATGATTAGTCCCATATCCCTAGCAGCAAGCTCCAAAGAAAGGAAAGCTTCTTTTAATGCAGGAACAGTTCGTGCAATGATGTCTAAATCATCCGCATACGCCAATATTTGAATAGATTTTGAAAATATGTTGCCTCTGATATTGATTTCAGCATCTCTTATAACTTTTTCTAGAGCAACATTAAAAAGAAGACAGGATAAGGAGTCTCCCTGTCTGACTCCATTGTTTACTTTAATTTCTTCAGATAAAGTCTTATATTGGTACATTACGTCTTATATTGGTACATTATGCTGGAACTGAAAAGTACCTTAAAGCCACCATCCGTATTTAGTCTGAAAATTCTTGTGCAACTCTTGCTATTGTGTTTTAAATCATAGAAACAAGAATAGTGTGTTTATTTTTTATACAAAAATATGCCATTAAACATTAATACAAACTGTTAAATTTTTATTTTATTGAAGATTAAATAATGTGCTATTCGAAAATTCTGAATATTGTATAGCTTAATATTCCCTTGGTTATTGCAAATAAATTGAATGATAACCGATAATCGCGCTGAATTTTTTTAATAAGTTCATTTAAAGAGCCTTATAAAGTCAAATTTCTGTAAAATTTTTGAAAATGATATTTTTCCTTTCTTTTCATCTATCAATGAAGTTTGCCTTTCTTTGTCATCTATCATACATGAAAATTCCACTGAAGTTTTGCTTATAATGTATTTTTCAGAGCTCTTTTGCCGATGAAAACGCAAAAGGCCACAGTTTAAGTGCCTTAAACTCTAAACAGGGCTTTACTTTTAAATTATTCTGCACATTTTCTGGCAAAAAATAATTGCCGGGAATTTAAAATGTTTCTTCAATTACAAAAATAAAGCTTTAAAAAACTGCAATTTGGCAAGATTTATATACGCAGATAAAAATTTTAAAATTCGATTAAATTATCCCGTAGTGCATATTTTTATGCATCAAAGTTATGAGGGGTTTTTGACATATTTTTTAAACATTCAAAATTATAATCTCAATTGCTTTTCATTTTTACAATACTGTCTTACAGTGACTTTTTTCTAATCAGCATCAAGAGTTTGCTGGGTGCTGATTTTCAAAACTTTACCTGACAGCCATTATTAACAATCACAAACTCATAACTATAAAAATGACATATTATTCACTAAAACGCGTTCATTCATGCATTGAAACCTTCAGAGAGCATGGCTGCTTGTGCCACGGAAAAAAGGAAACTGGTGGAAATACCATTCCATGTCAAGCGTGTTTTCGGTATAAATAAGAAGCTCTGATTACTAAGGCATATTGAAATTTAAGACGTACAAATAAGACTTTCTCTTAGACTGGAATATAGTTGTTAATAAATTTTGGTAGTCGCGAGCTTTTATTCCTTGCGAAAACAAGCGAAATATGTTATGATGTTACTACCACTTTTGATACAAATAAGACTTTCTCTTAGACTGGAATATAGTTTTTAATAAATTTTGGTAGTCGAGAGCTTTTATTCCTTGCGAAAACAAGCGAAATATGCTATGATGTTACTACCACTTTTTCCTCTTTTCCGGGATACAAACATCCCTGAGTAAATGTAAGCCAACTCCACGAAGAAACAGCCAAATTTTTTGGAAAAAAATTAAAAGCCTTACAACATCTCGCGGATAATTTTTTTTCACTAAAAAATCCTTTTAAGGTAAGACTAAAGCAGAAATTAAGTCTCATAAACGATAAGCTGGGCTTAAACCTCTCCCGCCCCAGTAGGGGGCATCCAGGGAATACTGGGGACCCAAAGTGCGATCTTGCATCTGCTTCAGTAAGGGAAAAGAGGCGAAAAGGAAATGGCTAAAGAAACTACAGATGGCAACACTATCGGTAGATCGACGATTTTTGTAGATTTTCGCCCTAGATTAAAAGGAAGTGAAGGTCTGTTTTATGTGGTGGCAACGATTAAAAGGTTACTATTTTAATTCTCGTGGCTACATTATTTGCTGTTTTAGTCGCCAGTCAGTGCTTTGGCTCCATTCGTAGTCATTGTAGCACGTGTTAGATTAGCTATAGATATACATAGATTTTATTAATTTTAGTAATTAATACTTGATTTTAGGACTTNAAAAAAAGATAATCAGTAATATCGTAGAAACACTCGCAGGCCGAGAAGAAAATAGAATGAAAAGACAGAAAGATAATATCCAAGAATCCAAGGAGTGACAAAATAGAATCCAAGGAGTGAATATAATTAAAACAAGCAGAATTTGAATGAAGAGTCGGAAAGGACAGAAGTTAAGATGTCTTCCATTGCGCACTCAATTTCTCGTGCAGAAGTAAAAAAGTTATCATTACAAAAAAAAAAATCGTGTTATAATTTACAGAAGAAAAGATGTTCAAAAGACCTTAAATACAGGATATTTTAAAAGAGGGTGATGATAAAGTGTTTACGAAGCATATTTAGTTCAAATCCTGAACTCTTTAGTTCATGTTTTGTGATCTCTCCTTATCAGAACAAGTCTCATATATCTGTTTCATAGTTTTAATTCGCAACGAATATTAGGGAGGGAAACGCTCGGCAGTTCGTGTTCGACTGCCATTGCTTAACGAAAAAATGGTCGAGTCTATCCTGTCTCGTCCTACCCGTTCACACCAGTTCCTGAGTTTAAAGATACAAGGTTTCGCCGCGGAGAGGCGGTTTGAAATCGAAGCGTTGGCGAAGCACCTTAGCAGTCTTATGTAGATATCTCAAAGAGAAGAAAACCTTTCGTAAACATCCAGTCTTCCCCACTGTCTTCTCCGAATACTCGTTTGGAAATCGGGAACATGCAGGAAGCTTTAGGCCTGTCCTCCAAAGAAATTGGAAGTCCAGGAAAATATGCTCCTGATCGAAAAGACATGAATAATTACAACGATTATATGCAGTAACAGATGAATACCGTGCAAGTTGAGTCCCAAGGAGGTTTCTATTGATTGATCCTAAAAACACTAGTAGCTGATGAGTTGTGTACAGATGAGATCCATGGTCGAGCTACTAGTGACCATAAGCGCTACTCAACCTCTTCCATACTGACAACGAGCATGTGTTCTAGATCGTCGTAATTACCGCAGTGCTTACAATTCGCTGATTTCTTAAACATTCTAGCCCGATAGCTACCTTGGGTTCCATGGTTTGTTAAAAACTGGTTTATATAGATATTGGAATATATTTTTCTATTATATAACTCTAGCTCATGATCCTTCTACTATTTAGGATATTTTACGTCAACACTGAGGTCGGTGCGAGCCGGGCGGAATTCGAATCGACCACCCAAAGCTAGGATTCAAACCCGGTTCACCTCGTTGTTGGAAGGCTCTATCCCTGAACTACCACAGCTGGCACAATAGGCGAATGGCGACGGTCTGGGAAACATCCCGTTCCACTTTGGGACAAAAATTAATGGAGGAAATTCTAAATAATTATCTAATGAATAAGGACTTGGAAGTTTAGTATATATTTGATAATACTATAAAGTTTTATTCATAAAATATTGAAATCACATATTTTAAAGTATTTTTTATACTGTTTATTTAAAGTGTACCTTGTAGTAATGTAGCTCATCTAATATGCTAGTTATAGTTAGCTAAAATTTTTGGTCCCCAGATTTGGGCGATAAACTGAGATTGAAATATTTTATTTTATTTTATTGCCATTGTTGAGCAGCCAACACAATTTGGAGTATACGAATACCAATGTTCAACTCCCAAGCCATATGATTTTAAACCCGATCGAGAAGACAAGGGAACTCCTGGATTAAACATTAATGTTTATAAAATAATCTCCCAATAATTATTGGAAGAAATGAAACAATTACAAGCATCTAAAACTAATGAGAGATTTGGAAAAATTTCGGTGCATTCCGCAGCTTATGTTATGCTTACAAGGCGATGCGGGAAAAGGTTTAATATTTTAGGAAGTTTTATTATTGTAATTTATGATTAAATTTACTCGTTATTTTACCAGTCATAGGAGTATCCTCTAATTTCCACAATTGTGAGTCGAAAACAAATTTGAGAAAATTAATATTAAAAAATAATTAAAGTATAAGGTTTGTCATGCTTTGAGTATCATCACTTGTTGGCTTTATTTGTGTAAAATATTACTTTTTGATATTTTTTGGATTGCATCTAGGATGCTCGCGAAGTCTTCCGAATTCATTCGTTGTTTGTTTCGTTAAATTTTAAATTGAAACAATACGTTATTTTGTAAAAGCTAATAGTATAGCAATATTTGAGGGCGCGCATTTTCTAGTTAATGCACAAAAATCAATCCGAAGTAGCAAATCGGAAGTCTTACAGCGAATTTTAAACCTTAACGCCATCTGTGCTTTGCTTTACACTCTCAACCATCCATTATTTTGAGGACGTTTAATCTACCAACCACTACGAACACACTACTTGGCCACACTACGACTGGCCACACTACGAACATAGAACCATTAGAGATAGCTCGGGCAAAAATAAAGAGCTTCAAACGTTTTCCTTATTTTTTGATGTAAACAAAGAGGAGCACCAACGATTCTGATTCTTATATCCTCAAAATAAACATATATGAATTTGAAATTTTATAAATCCTAGAAGATTATGAATACGAACAAAAGGGAACAAAAAAAATTTTAAACTGGAAAGATTCTAGAATGTGGTGTCGAACTTAGAATTTTGTTAACTATGTCTCCTGCTACGAAGATTACATTGCCTGTTGATGAGGTAATTTCTACAGAATTTCAACCTGAAAAATGTTTAACTTTAAAACTGGGTTACGCGTTAAATGATCTCTGGAGTTTAAGACTATTTAAGAAATCTCTTAACAACGGTAAACATTTTATTGTTTTATCTATTGAACGACAAAGAGATGAACAGAGAGTACAGGTTATTATGAAACTGAGCTTTACTGATCTTCATTCCAATAAAACTCTATCTGCTCAATGCTTCAAAAGGCTTCGAAGTATTGATAAAAGTAAAAGACTAAATTTAAATAAACCTATTAATCGAATGCTTTATAAGTCAGAAAAATTTAGAGTCACTGGAAAAATTTATCTCCGTCTGATTTCGAAACCAGTTTCTCTGGCTTCACCTCAAACGTTAATTACGCTATCTACTGATTTCAGAAAAATGTGCTGCAATACTATTTACTCAGATGTTAACCTAAGATGTGGTTCTGAAGTATTTGCAGCTCATAAAATAGTACTTGCAATGAGGTGTCCCAAGTTTAATGAAATATTTAAGGAAAATGTCAATGAAGAAACTATTGATGTCAAAGACCTGACTCCTCACGTTTTAAAAGCAGTTTTATTGTTTATCTATTCAGGTGTGCCAGATCCATTCACATTTCAATCTGCATGTGATCTTCTAATTGCAGCTGATAAGTACGGTTTGATTGAGTTAAAAGTATTGTGTGTTAACCATATAAGATCTTCATTTACTGTTAAGAATGTCTTAGATTATTTTCTTAAGTATGAAATGGCAAAAACATATGCTTCAGAGTTTATAGAAGAAAATATCTCAGAGATTGAGAAAACTGAACAATGGCAAAATTTCAAAACAGAATTTCCAGATTTGGTGTCAGAAATTTTGCAGGATAGTTTTCAAATGTTTGATATTGAAAATGATGAGCAGTTAATTGAGGTGGGTCAAGTCACAAAAGTATCAAGCTGTAATGACCAAGCACCAGATGAGAGTGTCCAGTCTTAGGTGTCACCAAGCACCTGAAAACATTGAAAAGATTGCTATCAGAAAAGGATGTCCAAACATTCAGTCGTGTAGTTAGGATTTTCAATATCCTGGCTAGCACATGGGCAATTGTTGTTCTCCTTCAACTCAAACAATTCTGTAAAAATATGAAAAAACTGCATAACTTATAATATGTTTGGGTTATGAAGAAAATAAAATTAATAAATCAATTCAGACAAAATAATATTAAAAAGTTACTAACTTATTGAAAATATATACTTGAAGAAAGAAAAACACGAGCAAAATAACTGAAATGGTATAAAAATTTAACAATGGATAAAAGCAATAAAACATGATAGAAATGAATGTGAATCAACATGAATTTAACATGATGCTTGCAATTTAACATGATGCCGAAGATGTAGTCTTCTCTCTTGTTTTCAAGAGCAAAAGGATCTCAGACTTGATTGATTAAATAAGAATATATTGATAAAAATTTACAAACCAAAAAATTTTTTAAAAGGTTTCTTATAATAAAAAAATTACATTAATTTTAAAAAATGAATCATATTCTAAAGAAGATGTGTTTTGACACCCTTCAAATACAGTGTTGATACAATCTGACCTATGTTTGCCCCTCCCTTGCAATGCAGGTACAGACACTTGAGTATCCAAAGCTACTATTAGACCTTTGTCATATAATTATGCTACATACTTCCTCTTAATTATCTAGGCTAATGAATAAGTCACTAGAATAATATTTATAATGAATCAATTTTTTTTTTAAATAGCTATTATATTTATAATATGAACTCATAAGTAACTATTAACTAAATGCATGTATTAAATAATTGAATAATTAGGTTTTTTAATAGCATTCTATTTCAGAGGGGCAGTAGAAAAAAATACCGTTCTTTTTTCTGGTGGGTGATTTAACTCCTATTATCAGGAGTATCAATGTCAACAATAATAGTTTGCATACTTTTTTAAATCCCTGCCGCCAAAACAATTTCTGATCAATACTGATACAGTACATTAATCATTAGCTATAATAAATGTAGGAGTTTGTAAAGCAAAAGAGGAAATAACAACGATAATTTAATAATCAAACTTAACATTTAATAGAAAAAAAAGAAATAAGTTTAACAGTGACATGATTGGTGAGAGCTGCCTTCTCGCAGTGTCGCTGAATCGAAAGTGAATGTGAAATTATATTGTTCTGTGGAAAAGAAAGTTAATAGTAAATTCGGGACTCGCTGGCACCGTTCAATGAGGAAGTAGATGATGAAATTCTTTCAAAGTATTGCATGATGAGGGATGATGCAATCTGCCCAAATATTACACTATAACACTGAAACTCTACATAAATATATTTTAAACTATGTTGTAAAGTTTATAATATATAGTGATCATTAATATAAGTGATAACTTTGAGACCTATTAAAGAAAATATATTGAAGTTTTGATGAGGTAAACTGAAAAGATTTGATGTTAAAACTGCTTGCCATTTCAAAACTAAAAGATTTGCAATCAAATTTCAAATCCGATTATCAAGATTTAATTTCATAATTGCAAAAATTTTAAATAAATTTTTTTAGTTTTTGTTTTTAATTCGAAAAGTTTTAAGTCTGAGGTTGGCAAGTTTTTTCCAAATTAAAAAATTAGGAAAAAAAGTTGCGCTTGGAAAAAATTAACAAAAATAAAAATATCTAATACTCAAAGAAATTTTTATATTGTCATTGCTGTTACAGCTGCAACTAAATGTGCCAAAGCATACTTTGTGCGACATTTATTTTCAAAACTTCATATTTTTTAAAACATTTTGAGCCAAACAGCAAAAATGTCGAAAGTGATACTAACTTTAAATCCACAACTATCTAAACTGGAAAATCTGCACAATGACATTGTGTGTGGATCATGGTGTGCTATCTGACCCCTCCCCTTTTTTTTTATACAATATACATCTTAACCTATCTATATTTAATCAAAATTTTCTAATAATTTCTAAAAAGTAGATAGTTTTCATCATCTTACTTACATTTTTAAGAAAAATCTTATCAATGGCAATGCTATTTTCTCAACTCTTGCAATCCATTTTGAAGAAATTAATACATTGAGCTAAAAATCTTAAGAGAAATTTCTCTGTAATGATCTTAAGTTTTATGCAGTATTTCATACTTGATGTTTGTCCCGAGTTTTAGATATGTTTCTTGTGTTAACTTTATTATCATTACAACTTAACTACCTGTTATTTTATTATTATTATGAGAGTTTTTTATTTGTATAATTTTTGTTTAACTTTTAATGTGTAGTTTTTATCGCTAATAGGCAAAATTTAGATATTTATATTTGCTTTTATTTTCTTTGAATTGTGAATCTCGTGTTACAATTCATATTAACATTTAGGGAGTAGATATCGTTTAACAATAAAAATATTTATAAATCACTATCACAATTTACGATAATTATTCATATGATGACTCATTGTGTCACATGTTTTTCTAGTGTTATAATTCTATTCATATTTACTTGTTTTACAAATTGGTTCGTAATCTCCGATTTTCCACATCAATCGCATTTCAATAGCAAATAACACTTTACATATTCACATGATTTAAAATCAAACATTGCTATTTCCATTTGCATGATTTAACAAATTACATATGTGATTCACATTCATACGATTTTAAAATCAAACATCATGTTTTGTATTCAACAGTTCAAACAACACGATTTGTATTTTTGTAATTTAAAAAATAAACCTAATTTGTTTCTGCCTGATATGGAAATTGCACGTTGTGATTTGTATTATCACAATTTTATATCAAACATTGCAATTCATATTTGATTTAAAAGTCACTATTGTAATTCCTGTTTACGTGACTTTAAAATTATATTTCAGAATTCGTATTCATCTGACTTAAAAATTATGCACTGAGATTACAGTTTTTGTGACTTAAAATCTATATATCAGAATATGTATTCTCACAATTTTAAAGTCAAGCATTGAGGTTGATATTCACACAATTTTAAAATTAAAAAACAAGATCCGCATTTACACAGTTTGAAAATCACACATCATGGTTTGTATTTACATAATTTAGAAATAAAATATTGTAATTCGTAATCACGCAATGTAAAAATTGCTTATCGTGATTCATATTAACATAATTGAAACATCAAATGTTGTGAGTTGTATTTTGCATGATTTCTAAATCAAATATTGTGATTCTTATTCATATGCTTTATTTTAAAGAGTTGAGAATATTAATATAGGAATAGAAAGTAAAAAATAAAATGAAGTTTTGTATCCAGCTTTCATATACGTAATTCCAAACACATTTGTAAAACATATAGTTCACACATATAATTAAAAAGTAATAATTTTGAAAATTATATAATTTTTTCTGAATTTTTTTTTTTATAATAAAAACATATTCCAAATATATGTGAAGAGTTGAAATTGTTATGAAATGTGGGTATTTTTATTTTTAAATTAATATGGCATATAATGTTGATGAATTTCGTTCATTTATACTTTAATATGCTAGTATTAATATTTAGAGATGTAAGACTAAAAGGAAATATATCAATGTTTCATTTATGAAACTAATAATTAAAATTAATAATTTTTAAAAAATAAAAAGTGACCCAAATAAATACATATATTTTCAACATATACTACACTTTTTACCTGCTCAAATTTCAGATATTTTTACATGGTACCACAACTGCCCCTGTTAAATATTGATGTTAATTTTTATTATGTACATTTTTTAAAAATATTTAGTGATAAATATCAGTTGCAGTGACATTCATTGATTAAAATGGTGTAAAGATATTTTTATTTAATTTGCAAAACACACATTTTCTTAGCATTATTTTATTTTAGCTATGTGATCTTTATCATTGATTCTAAACTTTTTTTACTTTTGCGCCCTTGACCAGGTCAGCGGACCCGTCTCTGTAAATTGTTTCCACAGAGCAGACACTACATTTATCAAAACTTCGAGGTCCCTACTACAGATAAGCATTGAGTGTTCCAACTATCCTCCACTTTATGGTATCACCTTTAGACGATGACAACTAGCCATACTAACCATGGGTTAACAAAAAAAAGTGCAAAATCAAGGATTGGGTTCAGCTATCATGTTTCAAAACGTCTTTACGCTACAAGCTCCGGCAAGCAAATGGGGTACCTATACACAAACTCAATCACAGAGCCACTTTCATACCATGTCAAAGACTACTGGGTGGCAGAGGTGTCCGCAAAGAGCTTAGCTCTTATCTATTAGCATTTGGCGTTTCTTATTGTATTCTTTTTATTTTTAAAAAGAATCGTTCATCCTTTTAATTGTTTTCATCAGTGTGGTTCTGAAGAGCGAGGTGCCATTCTTCACTCCGGTTGTCTCACAAGCTGAGTTTTTGCAAAATTTTTGAATTCTAAACACAGCAATCACAAACTTGCACTGCTTAACTTCTTCATTTGAGAAAATAAGTAAATGATATTGAAGCTGAATATTATAAGTTGTATAATATAAATAGCTAGCTTTTTTTTAAAAAAAAATACCAAACTAAATATATATATATATATATATATATTTTGCAGAGAGTGAGAAAAATGAATGGTTAATTAATCAAACCTATTAACCTAGAGGTTGGGAGATTCAATCCCTTGCGGTCACTGAGGAACCTTTTGCAACATGTTTTAAAGTATATTTTTAACTTTGAGTTCAAGTATTAAACACTTATTTTATATTTTTTATTACAAATTTATTTGGTTATATAATTGAAAAAATACGTAAGTTTTTTTTAATTTTTTTTAAGATTATAAATAAATTAAATTAAGCATTTTTATACCTATATTATTTGAATTATTATATTGTCATGTATTTATATATATTTTAACTTTGAATTCATTTAACTCTGAATATATTTTGTATTTTAATTAATTTTAACCTACATTACTTATAATGTATTTTAACAGCGTTTTTTTTTCTTTAATAAAATAGATAATTATT